CAGTTAATATACAAAAGTCAATAGCTTTCCTATATACCACCAATGAACAAATGAAATTTGAAATTAAAAACATAAGGGGCACCTGGGTGGCTCAGTCGTTAAGCATCTGCCTTCGGCTCAGGTCATGATCCCAGGGTCCTGGGATTGAGCCCCACTTCGGGCTCCCTGCTCCACGGGAAGCTTGCTTCTCCCTCTCCCACTCCCCCTGCTTGTGTTACTGCTCTCACTATCTCTCTCTCTGTCAAATAAATAAAATCTTAAAAAAAAAAAGAAAAAGAAATTAAAAACATATAATTTTTATTAGCACTCAAAAAAGTGAAATATTTAGGCATAAATCTTTTTTTAAAGATTTTATTTATTTGAGAGAGACAGAGATAGTGAGAGCAGTAACACAAGCAGGGGGAGTGGCACAGGGAGAAGCAGGCTCCCCGCTGAGCATGGATCCTGATGCAGGCCTTGATCCCAGGACCCTGAAATCATGACCTGAGCTGAAGTCAGACGCTTAACCAACTGATTCACCCAGGTGCCCCTAGGCATAAATCTTAATAAAATATATACAAGATTTATATAAGGAAAAGAACAAAATTCTGATGAGCAAAGTCAAAGAACTAAATAAATGGGGAGGAATTCTATGTCCATGGATAAGAAGACTCAATATTGTCAAGATGTGAGGTCTTTCCAACTTGATCTATGGATTCAATGCAATCTTGATCAAATCTCAGCAAGTATTTTGTGGATATTGACAAAACAATTTTGAAGTTTATATAGAGAAGCCAAAGACTCAGAATAGCCAACAGAATATTGAAGGAGAAGAACAAAGTTGGAAGACTGTCATTACCTGACTTCAAGACTTACTATAAAGCTACAGTTACTCAGGATAATGTAGTATTGGAAAAAGAATATGTAAATAGATCAATGGAACAAAACAGAGAGCCTAGACATAGACCTCCATATATCCAGTTAACTGATCTTTGAAGAAGGAGCAAAGGCAACACAATAGAGCAAAGACAGTCTCTTCAACTAATGGTGCTGGATCAACTGGACATCCACTAGCCAAAAAAAAAGAACCTAGGCACAGACCTACACCCTTCATAAACATTAACATGAAACAGATCACATATCTAAATGTAAATGCAAAACTATAGAATTCCTAGAAAGTAATATAGGAGAAAACCTAGATGACCTTGAGTGTGGAGATGAATTTTCAGATGCAGCACCAAAAGCACGATCCATGAAAGAGAGAACTGATAGTAGACTTTGTTAAAATTAAAATTCTCTGCTCCATGAAGGACGATGTCAAGACAATAAGACACACCACGGGATGGGAGAAAACATGCCAAAGACACATCTTATCAATAAAGGGCTGTTATCCAAAATATACAAAGAACCCTTAAAACTCAACAGTAAGGAAACAATCCCACTGAAAAATAGTCTTAAAGATGTTAACAAATGCCAGAGATGTACAGACAGCAGGTAAGCATCACATCACGTGCACCCAGCAAATACACATTGAAACAACGAGACACCACTGCACGTCTATCAGAACGGCCAAAATGTAGGAACCGACACCACCCAATGCTGGTGAGGACTGAAGCAGCAAGAACCCTCATCATTGCTGGCGGGACGCAGAGTGATGCAGCCACTGTAAGGCAGCGTGGTGGTTTCTTATAAAACTAAATATACTCTCGGGCGCCTGGGTGGCTCAGTTGGTTAAGCGACTGCCTTCGGCTCAGGTCATGATCCTGGAGTTCCGGGATCGAGTCCCGCATCGGGCTCCCTGCTCGGCAGGGAGTCTGCTTCTCCCTCTGACCCTCCCCCCTCTCATGTGCTCTCTCTCTCTCCTCTCATCCTCTCTCTCAAATAAATAAATAAAATCTTTAAAAAAAAAACTAAATATACTCTCACATTACAATCCAGTAATCATGCTCCCTGGTATTTACACAAAGGAGCTGGAATCTTATATCCTCACAAAAGCCTGCACACAGTTGTTTATAGCGGCTTTATTCATAATTGACAAAACTTGAAATGTGGACATTCAGTTTGTGACTTCAAATCTCTGAGGCAATGATGGACCTTTAGTAGGCGGACAGCCATGTGAAGAAAGATAAAATAAGGCCCACCCCTCACACAAACAGAAGTAACCTCAAAAGATCCCTAAGTCTACATGCAGAAGTGACTGACAGAAAACACGGCGGACGGAGCCTGAGTGTGGGAAAAGCTTCCCAACTATGACGCAGGTCAAGAAAAGAGTGGTAAACACGCAAACGTGAAATGAAGAAAACTCGTGCCCAGGAAAGTGGTTCATAATCAGTCAGAAGACAAGTGACAAACAGGGAGAAATTATTTGCAGCATCTACTGGACAGAAAGAGTGACTACCCCTAATAATCGAGTTTTTATAAAGTGAGGGGGAAATGACCAAAAGTCCAATGGAAAACGGACAAAATATATGGACAACTTACAAAACCAGATGGTTCTTAATCCTATGAAGATGTTCACCTTCACTCCTGAAGAAATGAAGAGAAGTCCACAGAGACGCCATTGCTCCCCCATCAGAGCAACAAGGGGAGAGCGTTAACACTCTGCCCGCCCCAGGGAGGGCGATGCAGCGATACCCAGCCAAACTGCTACACGTTGCCCCGAGAGCTCGCAGTCCCACTTGTAGGAATTCACCATAAAGACACACCTCACACAGCGTGAAAATACACACGTGTGAGGTCACACGTGCAGCATGGTGTGAAGTTGCCAAGTCCTGGCAATGACCAAATGCCACTCACAGGAGACCGGCTGAGTGAACCGCAGAACAGTCACACAGCGGAGGACTAGGTGGTTCCAAGGAGGAGTCTCTGGGTAGAAGGAGTGATTTCCAGAAGAAAAAAGGGCAAAAGAGCACATAGAAAGGAAGGGAACGAAGTTTACGTGTATCTGCTCATCTTTACAAAAAGAAAGGATAAGCCAGAAAGCAGTGACACTAGTTATAAAAACGTGGAGGAGGCCCACGAGGGAGTGGTGTCCCTGAGCGTGCCTTTGTGAACAGTTCGATTTCTGGACGCACGGGAAAGGACGGGAAGTCCGAACCCGAGCCTGAGCACTAACGGAAATGTGTGAACCCAGTTACGTTTTAAATGAAAAACCAGCACACCGGAGCAGGAGGGCTCATCCAAGGAATTCGCAGACCAGCGTCTGCCTACGAACCTGCAGTCGTGCAACACAGCCAACAAGCAAGTACATGGAGATTGCCGGGGTCAGGACTGTCACTGCGGAGGGCGGGCGCACGGATACGGGACCAGGGAGGCAAACGAGCCCGTGGAGACGGGAGCTGGAGGGGTCAGCACGGCGCTGGGGATTCTCCCAAACACACATATGCGTCTGTAGGTGTCTGTGTGCGTGCTCGCCCATCCTCCCTAGCTCCGTCCACAGAGAGGGCCTAAAGACAGACGTCCTGAGAGCAGCGCCACAACCATTCCCCAACGAAGGAACCAGGGCCCCTCACACGGCTGATTTCAGGGCTGGGACAGAGGCCCAGGGTCTTGAGCTAGGAAGGACAGAAGCCCTAAAACAAACAGCAACACCGGGGCGTGGGGACCTGGTGCAGTGTGCACACCAAGGTGACCGGGTGCGACCCAGACTGTCGAGGCCCAGCAGCAATCTGCAGACGCATGCTGATAACTGATGCTGATATTTGAACACTGATACATTATAAATGAGTAATAAATGCCAAAAACGCATAAAGAATAAACACGGACGACAGACGAAAGGGAAGGCGGAGCTGGCTCGCACAGACTGCTGAGCACCAGCGGGTGGGCGGGGGAGCTGCCAACCCCGGCGGAACCATCGGAGGGCGCCGAGTCGGGAGAGTTGGAGGAGGGCCTCCCACTGGACGCGTCTGCACACGCACGCTTGTCGGCTGCCGTCCACGCACAACATGGCAGCTTCGGTGGGAAATGCTGTCACCTCCCTCCTGAGACACACCGAGGCGCTCAGTGGTCAAGGCCACGCCACAGGCAACTCTCTCAAACGGCTCAGAAAAAGCAGTCCCTCTTTATGCGTGGGAGTGGTGTGTGTGCGTGGTGACTATGCGTGGTGCGAGTGCACGTGCGCGTGCACGGTATCAGCACACGCGTGGCGCGAGTGCTCGTGGTGTGTGCGCGGGCACGGTATCAGCACGCGTGGTGTGAGTGCACGTGGTGTGCGTGTGCACGGTGTCAGCACACGCGTGGCGAGAGTGCTCGTGGTGTGTGCGCGTGCACAGTATCAGCACGCATGGTGCGAGTGCACGTGCACGGTATCAGCACACGCGTGGCGAGAGTGCTCGTGGTGTGTGCGCGTGCACAGTATCAGCACGCATGGTGCGAGTGCGCGTGCACGGCATCAGCACACGCGTGGCGCGAGCACTCGTGGTGTGTGCGCATACGCGTGCACGGTATCAGCACATGCGTGGCGCGCATGCTCATGGTGTGCGCGCATGCGCGGTATCAGCACACGCGTGGCGTGCATGCTCTGGTCCATGTGCGTATGTTCAGTAGCACCCTTTCCCTGTATTGTCCTCAGTGCCTCGTGGTGTTAGATGCATTTCGGGTACTTCGTAAATAATACGTGCTTGTTCGCTAAAGTGTAAAAGTATCAAAATTATCACTTAAAACACAACCTATGCGGAGGTAGTGTCTGGAAATATCACTTATCATGAGATCTCTAATAAGGAAACATTTAAATTTTTATTCTTGTTCCTCTGTGACTTCCCCAGAGTTTTGTCTGAGACAGAAACGGTGTGCCTGTGCCCACGAAGGACTCGCCCTGCAGCTCGCGCGGGGGCAGGAGTCGCGGTCAGCAGGCGCCGAGGTCCTCACTGTCCACCATCACAAAGACTCACATGCTCTGCCCCGAAGGGGGCGCTCCCTCGGGTGCTCCAAGAGGCCCAGGGCCAGCAGCCGAGGCATGGGGCAAGGCCTGCCGTCCCCGTTGCTCTAACCGTGCGTGGTCCGGGGTGGCCGTGGAAGAGCTGGGCCTCTTCCCTCAGGCCTGCGTCGGGGGCACGTCCGTGGTTCCGTTGTTTCTCGTACTGTCTCATCTGCCAGGATGCTGACGGAGCTCCGATGTCCTCGGAAGGACACTGGCCCCTTCTCAGGAAGGCCCACGGAGTCTCTCCAGAAGCACCAGCTTTGTCTTTAGGTTGACGTCAAGGGGAGGCAGTGTGGTCAGGTTCAGACTCACCCCGGTGGTGCCTGCAATGCCGGCCAGGACCCGGTGTGTGTCCCTGTAGAGGGCCAGGTGCGCAGGGGCGGCCTCCATGAGGAGGTGCGTGTAAGCCAGCATATGCCCCGACCCGGGCTGCACATCCTCCCTCTTCTCGTACCTGCAAGATTAGAGGGTGGCTGTACACCTGTGGCCCCCAGGGAGCCCACGCACCACCTCTGGGAGGAGCACCTCATCTGCAGTCACAACACGGTGGGAACATACCTCCAGGCACTGTTGACCTCCAAAAACCGAGATACGCCTGTCTGTGCGGCAGCGACGTCGATGTGCAGAACGACATCTGCAGACAACCCCAAGGGCTTGGTGAGAACTGCGAGCGGCGCGCCTCTGGCCCCAGCTGCAGGTCCCGGCACAGCCCCCAGCGCCCACCTGTCCCGGGGGACACCAAGTCATGCAGTTTCCTCATGGCCACACCACCAGGATAGTTGAAGTGGGACACATACAGGGCTGTGGCCGAATATGTGGCATTCACCACAAGGTGTCCTACCACGAGGAGGGACCCCACTTTATACAGCCAAGACTTCTTATAATTGTTCAGCCTGGAAAGAGAACAGCACATCTCAGAAGACACTGCGGCAGAAAACAGCTCCTGTCCACCGTGATCACAATGAGCACTGATCACCACGTAGATGCACAAACTATTAGAGAAAGTGAGTAAATACCACCTCGAAAATTTCCTCCACGTCATTCCACCCAGATGCCAATTTAAAATTTATATGATGTTTCCAAACATTCGGGTTACTGCTTAGATCAGCCTCAGGGGACAGACACATGCTGGGCGCTGCCCGGTTTGTAAGCAAAGGGGACGGGCAGGGCTGCTGCTGCCCTGGGAGCTCCGACAGAGACCACGAGGCCCCACAGACAGGGTGCTCTCTGCCTGGTCCTCTACGGTCTGCTGGCCCACTGTGAGCACAGGATGGATGAGGCCCGCACTCGGGTCAGGTGCTGCTGAGCTGTCAGCTCCCGCCATGGGCAGTGACCGTCCCGCCTCAGCCCCGTGGGACTCTGCCTGCAGCCCGGGCACCCTCTCCAGGGGCCCTTCGTTCTGCGCTGGGCCATCTCCCTCCTTCGGTAACCCCCACACCATCTCATGCCCCAAGCCCTGGGGCCAACAGCACTCCCCCGCCCTTCCCCCTTCCTCTGGCCTGTCATCTGCCTGGACAAACACCCGCCACGCAGGGCCTGTCCCTCCGAGAAGTCAGCCCCGGGGACTACCCACCTGACCGAAGCCTGCCCGGCCGCCCTGTGCACTGGCTACCCCGTGAGGGTCCTCCCCGGGCGGCCGGGCCCTGGACGGTGTGCACAGCCGTGTGGAGACAGGCCCGACTGATCACAGACCGTCGGTGGCCTGAGGTGGCCCATCCTGACCTTGCTGCCCTCCCTCAACACAGGCGCCCGCTGAGACACGTCTGTTCACCCAGCGCCTGCCCCGCGTGACGGCGAGTGCGTGCGGCACGGCTGTGGACACAGCGGACTCACAGGCAAGCGCAGCCCCTGGCGGCCACGATGTTGAGCACAGGGAAGGTGTAGATGACGAACCGCAGCTCCTTGTGCGGGAGCAGCGAGTACAGGGCCACGAAGCCCAGCGAGGGCGGCAGCAGCACCAGGGCCCTCCTGTCCATGGCGCCCAGGGGCACGAAGAGCAGGCTACAGCCCAGGCCGCGGGGCAAGGCCGAGTAGAAATACCACAGCAGCGGGGAGGTCTCGGGTGGGACGGTTAAGGAGGCCACACGCCAGCGAGTCACCTGTCCACACGGAGCGGAGCGGGGCGGCACGGCGGACAGCCCCCGGGACCCCCCTCCCCGGCCTCTCCCTCTCCCGTCCCCCCGCCCCCGCTCCGCACGGCAGCACGGCCTGTCCCAGGGTGACGGGTGCGCTGGGGGCTTGTCACGCTATAGTCCCCACCTGCGCATGTGCTTGCGTACTCCGCAACAAACCGTTGCGAGTCACCGTCAGAGATGATCCCAAACGCTCAGGTACAAACTGAGCGTCCAGAGGCAAGGCGGCGTTTCCACAGCGGGGAGAGCAGCTCCCGCCGCGTCCCCTGAGTGAGGCCAGGGGCGCCGGCTGCCCTGCCCCGCGGCCTGACCTACAGACACACTTGAAGGATACTCCCCAGTTGGAACTTTTGTTCAGGATGGTGTTGTACCAAAGCACCTTTCCCTCCGGCCACACGAGACATCGCCAAAAATAGGAGTCCACGGCGACCGTCAGTCCTGGGAAGACGAAGGAGACCCTCAGGAAAGAACATGGCCACCTGAGCAGCTCGGACTTCACCACGGCAGTGCTAACGGCAGCCCAGAGTCCCCGGCCACGGGTCGACGTCCCACGAGGCAGCCACGCTGGTGCAGAGGCCACGAGCCACGCTTCATGGGGAGCAGCCCGCGCATCGGGACGCTGGCTCCCCTGGCGAGCCAGGTGCGGGGCCCAGCCATCCCCTCCCGGCCCGGACAAGGGGGAGAGTCTGGGGACAGAGCACCGGGCAGAGGGGAGAGGGCCTCTCGGGGAAGCTCGGGCAGAACCGCAAGGGGAGCCGCGTGAAGACGTAATGCTGCTGAAGACTAAGGTGATCTCGTTTAAAAACCCTCTCTCCTGAATTTCTCTTCATCTTCCTAAAACCAGACAAAGCAGAGCTTCCAGTGAAAACAGCTCCGGCGACCCCACTCACCTAAGCAGAGGGCCCCGGCCGGCAGGGCGCAGCGCAGGGCCTTTGCCACGGAGAGCCTCCGGGTGCAGAGTGGTGTCAGCAGCACCAGGCCCAGGAACAGGCTCAGCTCGGCCCTGAACACGAGGATGGCGAAGGCCGAGAGCCGGGTGAAGCGGGCCCACTTCAGCTGCAGCCAGGCCGTGAGGGCCAGCAGCACTGCAAGACATGGGGTGCAGGGGGCAGGCCGATTGACTTCCCCATCGTGAAAGCCACACAGAACCCTCCAGAAGACAGCCAACGCCATTCAGACCCAGATCTGCTGACACTGGGCCCGGGCTCCAGCCATGGAGCCTGCCCCATCACTCGGCCTGGGGCCACTTCTGCGGGCCCGACTGCACCCAGACCCCAGATGACTGCGTCCCGCAACCTGCCTCCTAGGAACCACACGCCCCGGCTGCACACGTCTGGCGCTAGCCTCGCCTGGCCTCCCTCCAGGCACGCAGCATGTCCTGCTGGCTCCACGGGGGTTCCTTCGGAATGGCGCCTGCCTGCCACCTTCCCCACCACACCCCACAGGGGTCCCCTCCCACGGCATGGGGAGGTCCCGGCCGTGCCTCTGCTCTGACCGGCACAGACCCCAGACCCACGCCATCCACAGCCTCCCGTCCCACTGGCTCTCGGTCTCCTCATGGCTCCCAGGGTACGGCCATTCTCCCATCTGCCTGGGTCACCCCCAGGACACCTGGACAGAGCTGCCCGTCTGCCATGCAGGCAGCTTCTCTCTGCCCAGCACTCACTGTCCGCAGGCTAGGGAGCCCTCCCAAATGGCCTCTCGCTGGAAAGTGCACCTCCATCCAGCACCGAGGCCCTGCTTCTCGTCACAGGGTATCCTGTCACCGGGCATTTCCGAGATGCCCAGCAGGAAGCAGCTTTCGTCAGGCAGACGCACCCTGGACAGACACCCCTTCACCTGGCCAGTGCGCCCAGTGACCCGCGTGGCTCAGCAACTACCTACCCACGGGCAGGGCCAGCACGTTGGGGAGCGTCCGCGTGCAGTAGAACATCAGGTGGAACTGCGTGGCTGTCACCCAGCAGAACATGGTGGCCACCGTGGCCCCAAACTGCCGCCTCACTTCTTTTTGTAAAGTCCAGAGTCCGAAGATGACGCCGAGTCCAAGGACAGCCCTGACTAAACAAACACGGCAATGTGTGTGGCCGGCAGCGACAGGCGCGGGGAAAGGGGATCCCGACAGGTTACTGGTGACGATGAGTTAATGACCAGGTGACAATAAAACCACCTCAAAAGAGGGGCATCGACTCTGCTACTGAAAACAGACGGGGCGTGGGGAACGGACAGGCTGGACCCTGGCACCTCGACCCTACAGCTTCGCTGTGACCGCGTGGCCCAGGGCAGGTGGGCTCTGGGAGACACGGCCACTGGGCAGGGCAGGCAGTGTCCAGAGGTCAGTGTGATGGGCTCAGCACCCTGGAGGTGACGTGACACCTCCAGGGCCACACATGCTGAGAGCCCGATGCTCAGACGTGGCGCTGGCTCTTCCGTCTGGGGCTCCCTGGACCCCACAAAACCAGCACAGCTTGTTTAGCTGCCCCCCCGGGGTGGCGGATTTCCGGGAGTCTACGTACAGGCAGACAGCTAGCTGCAGGGTGTGTCTGAGTTCACTGGGGAAATCTAAATAACGTCCGGGTACAGACACGATAAAAACGTACTAAAACGGAAAAATGGTGATCGTTGGCTCAACGATGAGGTTGTGGGGCAATATGTACAGAACGTTCTAAATTTGGTTTTGAAAGTTATGCACGTGGGCACACAGAAAGATCCAGATCGATCTGCACAAAGCCCTATCAACGGTGACCTCCGGGTGGGGGAAGGGAGGCCTCGGACGCAGACGGACGCAGCAACGGCGAGGCTGGCTGCTCCTCGGCAGGAGGGTGCAGCACTGCGGGACGCGCCACGAGCCCGCTGCATCGCCCGCCTGGGGAGGAAGGGCCGGCACCCTCACTTCACGGACCCGAGAGCAGCAGTGAGAGGCGCTCAGTTAGCTGTCCCAGCTTATGCCCCAGAAAGGGCCGATGTCTGAGCTGCCCTCGTGCTCCAGACCACCACGGTGAGTAGCCACAGATGGCCAAGCTTCCAACGGAAGGACACTCCTGAAGGAGGGAGCCTCCACCGGGCTCCCTGAAATCCCCTGACCACACCACGGTTCTTCCTTCCGTCCTCATCTGAAGACCCCCTTACCTACTAGCTGAGAATAAAACTTGGATGCTTCTAGCAGGGACAGCACATAGACCGCAGGGCTGGAGAGCACCGCCACGGCCAGGGGCCCGAGGAACGTCCTGGGGACCACTCCGGGGAACTCGAGATGGTCATACTGCAGGGAGAACGGAAGGTCAGTGGGCACCCGCGTGGGGATGCTGCACGGTCTTGGACGCAGGGGCTCACCTTGTCCACGTCCAGCCGGTGGTAAAGTAGATCATGCATGGCCTGCAGGTTGAAGCTCTCCTCCACTTTGGCATAGGGGCAGGTGATGAGGTGGACGGCGGCTACAGCCAGCAGCAGCCCCAGCAGCCGGCGCTGCCTGCCCGCGCCCGACGGCCTCTTCCCAGCCATCGCGCTCTCCCGCCTCCCGGGCCTTCAGCGGTCATCAACAGTGTGGCTCTGTGAGCCTGGGGAGAAGACGAAAACGCAGATTCCCAGGTTTCAAAAGTCCCCTGTGAGTTAACACCTGGGGGTCTGGGTGAAGGGTGTGTGTGAACTCTTTAAACTACTGTTGTGGGGGCGCCTGGGTGGCTCAGTCGTTGGGGTTCTGCCTTCGGCTCAGGTCATGATCCCGGGGTCCTGGGATCGAGCCCCGCATCGGGCACCCTGCTCTGCGGAGAGCCTGCTTCTCCCTCTCCCACTCCCCCTGCTTGTGTTCCCTCTCTCGCTGTGTCTCTCTCTGTCAAATAAATAAAATCTTTAAAAATAAACAAACTACTGTCGTTAACATCCATAGACCTGAACACATCAAAAAAGAAAGTTCAAAGAAAAATCATGCTTGAGCGCCTTTTACGTCTTAACCAGCTACCTCACGCTCTGAGCTGTGTGCAGATATTTCCAGGAAGAAAGGCTTTATTTGCAGGACTGAGTTGGTCCTCCAGGCAGCCGGGCCCAGGGCTGGCCCAGCCTCTGGAGGGCAGCAGGGTGGCCCCTGCCCTCGAGAGGCTCAAATCTGGCAAGAGAGTAGGTCCCCATGGTCTGGGCAGAGAGACCGGGGACAGGAGGCTGTGGGGCAGGAGGGATTCGTCTGGAGGACCACAGAGGGGCAGCCACAGGAGGGCAGGAGGCGGGATGCAGGGCTCAGGGCAGCCAGCGAAGCCCCTGCATACAAGTACAACGGGACAGGAGCTGTGGACGCCCACCCTGCTGTGTCCTGCCCCTCACCCTGGGAGCCACGTGGCACCTCGCGTTGTGCACATGAATACGTAGGTGGCAAAAACATGAGCGTGTCCTCGAGGTGTTCAGACAGGTGTGCCTGTGGTGGGTCACCAAAATCCCAACAGGGCAGTGCCGGGAGGAGCCTATGGTACTAGGCTTCCCAGGAGACACAGAGTTTTCAACTTGTCGGGAAGAAAGATGACAAGCTCTTCTTCAAGTTTCTGGCTTCTCTTAAAACATGATTTTATTTGATCAAATAAAATTTGATCAAAACCAGAAGGATCAGAAACAAAAGGAGAGAGCCACCGTGCTCACTACCTTTTACTGGAGAGAGATTTATGAAGTCTGTGGTCGCCAGAGACAGCAACTGGGGGATCCACAAGGGAAGGAAAATCTATGGAGTAGGAGCAGGAGTCCTGCTCAAGGTGGTGGTGAGGTGGGGGCAGGAGGGGAAAGGGGCTTTAATAAAAAGAGTTACCAAGACAGCATGCAATTCCTTTCTTCCCAGATATAAAAACCACAGAGGGACAGAGCTGTTACCAGTATGTCCCCCCGCCTTTCTAAAGCGTAAGCTGCTTGAGGGTGGGACTTCTCTGCCCCCTCCCCAAGGAGCAGGGACTCGGTCATCATAGGAGCCAAGCGTGAATGGGGCTGGCGCTGTTCTCTCCGCAGAGCCTGGTGCGCAGCAGGGTTCGACGAACTACGTGAAGGGGGAATCCAGCAAAACTCTTACACGTGGATCTCATCACAGCAGCTGCGGTTTCATTAAAAACGCGTTAATGCTTTAATTTCCAGCAAAGCCGAGGAGACCCCAGGACGCTCGTAGGGTACTCTCGGCTCCCCGTACTGTTACGAGGGGGGGAAAGCTGAAAGAAACCGGAGGCACCCACACACCAGCTGTCGAGACGCTGCAGGAGAATGCTGCTTGGCCGAGCGCGTCGCGGGCCCACAGCTGTCCCGGGGCAGCTAAGACCAGGCCTGCCCCGCCCCCACCCCGTGCCGCCGCCCCGAGGCCGCTCGCCTGCAGGAAAACGCATACCGTCAGCTCGCAAGCTGCGGGGTGCGGACGGCCGGCGCCCAACCCGGCTGCCTCTGTCCCGCAGGAGGCCGAGGGCAGAAGCCACAGGCGCGCCGCCTACGTGGACGGCACCAGCAGCGCCGAGGCCGAGCCGGAGCGCGGGCCCAGCGCCCGGGAAGGCAGGGCGGAAGCAGGGGCAGAAAGCAGGTGCGGCGCCGCGCGGGGCTGGAGACCGAGAGGGCCGCTCGACGGCTGCACCCGGGCGCCGCAGGGGCACACAGGCCGGCTCTCGGCGGAGGAGGCGACCTGCGACGGCCCTCCTGTCCCGCCAGCTCGGGGCGAAGGGCTCTACCGAAAACGGACGACCCCCAGGCTGGAGACAAGAGCGGCAGCTCGAGCCAGCGACGACCACGGCCCACGCTCGTCGTGGCGCTCCTCATTCAAACCCGGGTTCCCGCGCCAGCCGCCTCGGGCCGGCGGCGACGCTCCGCCCGCTCGGGGTCCCCGCCGCCCTCCCCGACAGCCCGGGTCGCGCCCTCGCCCGCCGCCAGCCCCGAGAGCCCCGGCCGCGGTAGGGCGCGCTGACCTCGCCAGCCCGCGGCGTCGTCCCTCGAAGCAGGCCCCTACGCCTGCCGGCGGCCGGAAGCGGAGTGACGGAAGCCGAGAACCGACGAGAGGCCCTTGCCCAAACCTAACATGGCCCCCCAAGCCTAGTTACCGTCGCGGCGGGGCACCCTCCCTGCCCGGAGTAAAGATGGCCGCCGCGGGCGGAGCGCGCGGGGAGCAGGCTCCGATCTCCACGCCCCCGTCCCCACCCCTCCCGGCTGGACGCTGACCCGGGGCCTTCCTATTGGTCGCTTCTCGTGGCGAGCCCGGATTGGGCCACATGGGGACGGGGTGGGTCCCACGGACCAATAGCGGCGCGAGGGCTGGCGGTGGGCGGAATCCCGCCCGGCGCCGTCAAGTAGCCCCGGGAACTGCCCGCACCGCGGAGCGGTGGGCGGCCGCAGAGGCCGAGCGCTCGGCCGGTTGCCGCTGCACCTCGGCTCTGCCCGCGCGGCTGCGTCCTGCGCAACGCTGCCCGCCTCGGCCCGCCATGCGCCCGCAGACCTGAACACATCAGCAGGGCCAGCACGTTGGGGAGCGTCCGCGTGCAGTAGAACATCAGGTGGAACTGCGTGGCTGTCACCCAGCAGAACATGGTGGCCACCGTGGCC